CTGCTGCTGTGCGCTGAAAAGGAGAGGGAACCGCCATTGATCATTTCTTTCCTCACACATTCACGCACACAGCCCACCTTCCACGTCACTATCGATCGACATGTTTATTGTTTTTGTGAGGAATGGCTAACATTTCCTTGTCATTTATAATCTGAAATTATCAGTAAATTAACCAGACGACTATGTATTCTTATTTGTATGACTGCATTTATTTGTAGTCGAGGCAGTCAGAGTTGGGAAGGCTGAATCTCTTTCTTCAAAAATGATTTTGTCCTCAGTTGTCTGACAGACATAAATTGTTCAGTCATGATACAGCACCTTTATGCGGCCATGTTGGTTATGCTTCAAGAACATTTTCTTCAAATCCAGAAGAAAAATGTTCGTTCGTTGAAGTGAATCTGCTTTTTAAATAATCTTGTCATGATATGTAGTTTTAAAGGAAAACAATCCATCCATTTTTCCTTCCGCTTATCTGGGGTTGTGTAGCACACGCAGCATTCTAAGCAGGGAAGTTTTGATTTCTTGTCTCTCCTTAGTAAAGGTTTTCCTGGGGGCATCCTGAAGATTTACCTGACCAGCTCAGAGACATAAGGGGCTTTTCCATTCGCCCCATTTCACACTAAGATGTCCTTGCTTGGCCCTGGGTGTTCGCTTTTCCTTTAGACATTTTTGGGACCAAGTAACTACAATGGAACCACTTTTGAGAACCATCTCGGTATGCCGGCTTTTTGGAGCATAGTGGGGCCATGTCGTCAATGAAATCTGATTGGCAAACTGATGCAACAAGGGAACTCCGCTGTACACGCCCATTTCCTGGTTTTAGATGAGTGAGACAAAGCCACCTGCCAGTCATTGCCAAAGTCATGAAAATTTAGCATATACAATAAACATACGTGTTTTACGACAACGGTGAACCATATTGACAATGTCATACGTACCGTTGGATGAAACTTCGGTAAAATTTTTCACAATCGCACAAATCACTCGCTAGGTCCCATTCAATTGAATGAGAGGTGTCCAGCCGCAGCCGGGGGCCTCTCCTCCCCCCACCCGACGTCTTTGGGAGAGAGCCGGAGGGCTTCGGATGTTGGAGAGTGAGGACAACGAGCCGCTGACTCGGGGAGGCAGACGAATGAATGAGACTGAGCTCCCCATTCAGAATGAATGAGCGCTGGTGGCGAGCTCTGCGTGTCGCTCGTGACAACACGATCGCACTATTTCGTCCATAATACATATTAAAATTGTAACTATGGTTCAATCTTCATGTGAAACACAAAATATGTGTCTATATTCATTGTATTTTTGTCTTAATGGCGGGTGGGTAGAGGGCAGCTATGTCTCGCTGGCTTAAGACCAGAAAGATATTTTTTGTCAGTGAAAGCTTTGGTACATTTGATAGGCTGGACAATACTTTGCGATGTTACTGCATCATGCCGCGGGAATTCATATTTTGAAAACAGTGGTCGAGACTGCCCACTCGTGAAATGTTATAGCAGAACCCCAACTCGCTGTGAGAGGCTTCGGACAGATCAGTTGATCCGATCTCATCCCTTCCGGCACCTGTAATGGAAAAAGCAGAGGAGGACGTGCGGTGTGATGCCGGGCCATGCAAAGTGGTGTGGTGCTGTTTGTGGCTAATGGTATAGTGGTGATCGTCAATCCGGCGTGACCTAAGTTATTCGCTGGGCCTCCTACCTACCAGCGAAGCATCCAGAAGGCATCCCAACCAGATACCTGAGTCACTTCATCTGGCTCCTCTTCATGAAGAGCAGCAGCAGCTTCATTCTGAGCCCCTCCCTTCATGACCAAGCTTCTCACCCTATCTCTAAAGGAGAGCCTGGACACCAGGACTATTTAATTGATGTATTGATGAATCTGCCCCACGATCTAGCTCCATGAATACATGCTGGACTCATGTACATTGATGCTGGCCACTCATCAACACATCATTCTTATAAGTTAATTATTCCCTCACTGAGTCACAATTTCCTGAGCCCCGCCCCCACCGAACACAGTGTTGATCATGCCCTACGTTTCCCTCTGGAGATGCTGGATGGTGAACCAAAATTCCCTCAAGGCTGTCCAGCAGTCGTTCACCACACTGAACTCTTCCCATCCCCGAGTTTTTGCCTCATTGACCAACAAAGCTGCATTTCACTCTGTATGCTGGTACTCATTAGCTGCCCCTGCAGTCTCACAGGCCAAAAAGCCCCAACAGGACTCATCCTTCAGCTTGACGCATCCCTCATTGGTGTGATCCACTAACGGGTTCGGAGACGGCTGCCATGACCGGCACCGGCCACCGTATGGCCAAAGCTCCATACTACCGTCACGAACAACGATGAGTCTGGGCTCTGAGAAGAAGTAGAACATCTGGTGAACTGGTGTAAACATAACATTGAAAGCATCAATGTGAAGAGGAGGAGCTGGTGGTGGACTTCATGAAGGACAGGTCCCCACTTGTCCCACTTTTCAGAAGCAGCTCTGGAATTGGTCTCCGACTACAAGTACCTTGGGGTCCACCTTTCTGAGGACTCCACCTGGAGCCAAACCACTTCCTTTCTGCCGAAGGAGGCTCACCATTGTCTCCACTTCCTCTCGAAGCTGCGACGTGCCATATTGGGGAGCTGTGTTTTAGGGAGATTCTATAGATATGTGGTAGAGGAGCGTCCTCAGCAACTGCATCACGGTGTGGCACAGAAGCTGCTGGGCTACAGAAAGGACGGTTTTTCAAAGGATGGAAAAGGATTCTCAGAAGATTATGACATCTTTACCAGTAGATGCAGAAAGAAAAATCTCCATCATCAAGGATCCAACTCACCCCACTCACATCCTCTTCCATCCTCCCCCCTCAGGCAGTAGCCTACGAAGCATCCTGAGCAGGACCACCTAGCTGAAGAAGTGCAGCTTCTTTCCAGAAGCTGTTACACTCAAACAGTCCTCTGTAGCCATTTCCTTGCCTACCTTACCTTTTTCCTATTTCTCCCTGTACATTTAACAATTCACACCCCCCCCCCGTACAAAGAGGTCAACATCATGTGAAATTCAAGCCTCTTTCTGCTGTATCTACACCTTGCTGCATTTGCATCTTTGCACATTTTCAAAACATAAATAAAAATGTTCCCGATTTTGATTATTTGTTTTATTTATTTTTTCATATCTTTGGACTCACTAGACTAACCAGGGTCTTTAGGTGTTGCATTTTGTGCCTTATGCGGAAATGTGTGTTGGTATGACAATAAAATCCTTGAAAGGTCACATTTCATGTCCCTCAAAATGTCTTCTATACCGAGGGATTAGAAACGCCAAGTTCCCCACCAAGTTCCCCGCCTTGCGCAGCCACCCACCTCACTGTGCACCAGACCCCTTGGCCCATCCCACAGGGGCTGAGCTCGTGGGATAGCCAAATTACCTCTTTGGGCTATGTCCAGCCAGGCCTGATGGATGCAGGTTGAGCCCCACCTCTAAGCTTTGCTCCAAAGCTGGTCCCTGATGACACACATGTCCGGGCAAGGGACAATGTCTTCCAAAATAGTGTTGTCGTCATGTTGCTATCTCAACAGACGCACTGTGGTCAATCACGCAAAACCAAAAACCACAACACGTCAACAATAACGTAATAATTAAATTCTCGACTGTCAGCAATGTGTGTGCCATGGTCCTGGTGAATACACCCATGAATCCTGACTGAAAGACTGTATGTCCCTGCTGGACTGGCGGAGGGCATTGGTGGACTTGGCCAACCTCCAATAGCAGATATTTACTCCTGACCAGGCTGCCTGCTCTGCCAACACACCTGCCCAGACACTTGAGGAAACCCCCTGTGAATTGAGAGTAGCGCTTGTAGTGGCAGGGTCCTGAGGTAGAGCGGGAGCAATGGAGAATTTGTATGAATGAGTGGGGAGAGATGGTGGACTGGGTGTATAATGCTGGAGAAGGACAAGGGTATCGCTCCCCAATCCTTTGATGGCGGTCACCTGATGGACAGCATTTTAGTTTTCTTCGAGGACAATGTTGGACACCAGATCCGCGGGGCAATGACATCGCACACACTGCAAGCTACCAGTCAGAAGGCCCTCAATGAACTGCTCCAGCAATCCAGGGGCCAGAGTCCATGCTTCACCAGTAGAAAAAAATGCTGACAGACATTGCTTTATTTTTGTGACAGTACAAATTATATCTCATATATATATATATATATGGGAAACCTTTGCAATCTGGTAGACTTGTGAGAGCTGAGCCAGGGATTTTTCATCAAGTTATGAAAGAGGAATGTGTTCATGGCTCATACCACCACCGCTTAAATTTTATTTATGTGATTGCACAAAGGTTTTTCAGAACCACATGCCATATCAACAATGACTGGAGATTTTCAAAATTGTTTTAGGTTGCGCGAATGTTGGGGGGGGTTCGGGTTCGGTCTTTAATAACCAATTAAACACCTGACAGCCACCAACAGTATTTCTAACTGCATGCCATGGGCAACTTCCATGGTTTCATGAAGAATTCTGCTGGTGGAGAATTTGAAGAAAATCTCAGTTGCAGTTTCCCAGCGCTACACTTTTTAATCAACTTATGATTGATTAAAAAGACCCACCGGTAATACACTAAGCTCTTTTTTTTTTTTCATTTTTCACTGCACTTCAACACCAGCAACCATGCCCAAATTTTATCAACTCAGGTCGGACTCAAGACCGAAAAGCTACTTGACCAACTTCACCCTTTCAGGGACAGTGGTCACTACAATGGACAGCTCATCATGTTATCAGGTTACAGGTGCATGAAAGGGTTAATGCCAAGGTCAACTACCATTCCTCACTTGAGGACAAACCTTTAGAAGTGGAGTGAACTGTTAAGGTTGTTGGTGGAAACTCAACAACTTCTGTAAATTGACTTTACATTTCATTCTTTCAAGGTGTTATTGTGTCTCTCATCGACGTCAGACATTACATTTTGTATGTGTTTCCTAAAATGTAACTTTTCATGTTCTGTCATTGTAGGTTGTCCTCGACATGACATTTGGTGGTGGTGGTCATACCAAAGCAATACTTAAAGCGGTTTCTGACGTGACAGTCCTGGCCTTAGACCGGGATCCCACGGCAATTTCCCTGGCCCATGACTTAGCAAAGGAAAACCCGTAAGTGATTTATTACATCCGATCAACTACTCCGAAACATAAGCCAAAGCCTATGTTATTGACTGTCTAGACAAATGTTTATACAGGATGGTGGTTAATGTTTTACCCTTTTTAATGTCATATTTGACAGCTTCACCTTTCTGAGTGGTGTTTGGTTTGTGGTCAGTTCTGCAAACATATGTAGGTGTGATATATTATTGCAGTTTTTACAGTGTGTCTCACTACTTGCCTGGGTCCAATCAAATGCTCCTCACTGGTTACTGAGCTACTTTGCCCAATCAAGTCCATTTCCCTTCTTAACTTTCAGTCTCCCCTCCCCCCATCCCCCTCCCTCACAGAGCTCGTGGGCCATGCGTGTCATTTGTCAGAGAATGGGCCCACGACTCTGCACAGCGTGAGGGGGATGTTACCTCTCCCGGCGGATCTATAAGATCGGAGAGAGAAAGTGTTTCAGAGTAAAAAGAGGAATAAAAAATGAAACGATGAGAGCGAGAGTACGAGGAGATACAATGCCACGGTGACAGCGAGTATGCGTGTTCATGAGCAAACTGAGGGAGGCTGAAAATGAGATGTTCCTAAGACCTAGGCGTGGGCAGGAATCCTTTTACGTAGATTCTGGGGAAACCTCTCTCAAGGGATTCTGCAGAAAAATACACCTGTGAGCAGGGAATGACAATTAGGAGAGAGTTTCCAAACACTATTCTGTCAGCCGCAATGCACCCCTGCTGTAAACTCTGCGACGCCTACTCGTGATGCAAGTTGAGAGAAATCTTGCAATTAACCAATATTATTGGAAGCCTGAGTAAAAGACCTTCTCATCCTACGCAGTGCATCGTCCACAAGGGCTGGAGGATTTTCTCTCTCCTACTATATGTGCTCTCATATCTTGAGGAAAGTATAACCTCAATGCAAATTATAAAGCACCAATGTGACGAAACCTCGTTTAAAGCGAAAGAAAAATCTATTTCTAAAGAAACTGCCCGCATAGCTTGCTTGTGAAAGTCACCTGTTCACTGAATTACGGTCAGCATTTCATTTTTCTTTACATCTCTTGTACACGTTATTGGCAGGCTTCTGTGTGCTTGGTCTGCTTTGATTTATTTATTTGCCCACAGTAAAGGTTAAATGTTAAAAACAGTTTTTTGGGGTGAAAAGGCTCTATCTTTTAATTCAGGCATCATGAACTATAAAAACACGAAAGTTGAAAAACCCATGGTATCCAGCGCTAACCTCAATCTAGTTCTGATGACTGGTGGAGCGTTGCGATGCACTGCAGCTGAGTTCAAGGATGTGACTCCAGGTACATACTGCTTCTCAACAGATTTTTTAAAAATAGTGTGCATGTGATGATCATACAATGTTGTTGTCGAAATCTCTTGAACATTTGGCTTGTTGTAGATGTATATGACGTACTGGCAAATATTGGAGTAATTATACCATTCCCAAACAAAACTGTTGACTCCGTTAAAGAGATAAAAACCCACAATGGCCGTTGAACCTACAAAACGTTAATAAAGGCAATTGAAAACGATAAAAGAATAAGAAATGAAATGAATATTGTGGTATTTTAGAATAAAAACAAAAAGAGTGAACCTGAAAATGATTGTACCCTTAAAAAAAAAAATGTATATATATATATATATATATATATACTCTATATGTGTATATATATATATATATATATATATATATATATATACCGTATATACAAATATACACACACATTGATATATTTGTCCACTGCACAGATTCAAGGCATCACGTGACTACCCGCCTCTGCTTAACTCCAATGAAAAAGACAAAGCCCTGGTTGAGATTGAGGGCTTGTTTTTTCCACTGATGCCCTTCCAGGTCTCATTGTCATTGCCTACGTGATCACGCTAAGTTCCCTAGCAGAATGAATGTGTCTGCTGCATGTAGTGCACATCAGTACTGCCTCCAAGGTGTTCCCAAAAGGGTGGGTACCCTTAGCTGCTGTTTCGGCACAAACAAGAATCAGAACCCATCACAATAGCCAATGGTGGTGGGAGGCTTGTCCACTGCAACGCGACCAGAAGGCAATAATGATGTCCACACCAGACAGCAAGCTTCTTCAGGACCCTGCATAGATAGGTTCTTGGGACAGAGACACCAGAAGTTCCAAATTCATGTTTGTTGCTCATCAAAGGCTTTTTACCAACAGCTCTCTTAATATATTGCATTTGCCTGACAGAAACTAAACCTTATGCTCCATTTTCCAAATGAATAAATTGGCTCACTGACTCACCCGCTATTTTTTTTAACAGTTTTTGACCAATAAATAAAGCCGTCTTTGTTGTATATAGCTTTCACGGGTCCCACAGACTACAATGACATTGTTCCATATTGCTTTAATGTCACCCATCACCACCGTTGCGTTTGTGTGTGTGCGTGTGCATGTTTAAACTTTCTTCTTGTGATGCGAAAGCATGTGACATAGCAAGTAGTACATTCTTGACACCGATTGGCTGTCGCCGATGCTATGCCGAAGAAGAAGAAGAAGAAGAAGAAGAAGAAGATCTGACAGTCCCAAAATAGCGGAGATGGACTATAATTTAGCCATGATGGAAGCATGGTTAAAATAACACAACCAAAGTTACGGACTGGCCGACAGTTCTAAAATAGTGCTGACGAACTGTTTTAATTTAGCGTTAATGGAAGCACGATTACAGTAACAATGACGGAGTGACGGACTGATGATGACAGATTTGTTCGGCTTAAAATAATGACAGACTGACGATGACAAACGCGTGGGACTCCCACTGGCGAATGACATATTGTCAAAAGGAATTGACACGCCCACCTGTTTTTTTTCCCCCGTGTTGCATGCAAATGGTAACGTGCTTAAAATATGGAACAATCTTTCGAAGTATTTTGTTTTACGCTTAAAAGAGCAACTAATTATAAAACCTGTTTGAGATTGATAGCGGTGAAGAAACAATGAAAATTCCACAGAAAATTAGAGCTCAAGCTCATATGTTTAAGTCCTCCAATAATGTTGTAGAAATATCATATTATATTCATTACTATTGTGTATGATGTGCGTGCGTGGGAGAGTTTTGATTACATTTATTTTTGCTCATAGTCTGACTGGCCACAGATAGATTTTTTTTTTTTTTTTTGCTTGGACTGAGGAAGGACAAATTGAAAATATGAACAAGCACTTGTGCACCGGTGTCTATCTGCGTGTTCTATGTTTATAACCGTCTGTTTTTTTTTCCTTCACTGGATTGAAGATATTTTCATCACTGGTCCCCTGCTGAAAGCAATCAATCAGCATCTTGTCTTGGGCTTCAGTGACGCAGGTAACGGAACGGAGCAGGTCAACACAAGGGAGTATTTCTGGCATGATTTGTGAGGAGCAGCAGTATTTTGAACACCATTGTCCTCAGGCTGTGTTGGCTTCTTATTAGCCTCTCCAAAATGTTTTTTGTTTTCAACAAGAGATTTTATAGTACAGTAACTTGGAGTGACTCATTTGTATGTTCTAGTCTTATATCTTTGAAAAACACAGTCTGCTCAAGTTGATCCCATAAGGAGCACCCATAAAAATATAGTGAGGTGCTACAACCATAAATAATTCACAACTCTTAAGTAATTACGAATCCACACTTGGACCTTAGTACATACACCACTAGAACGTGTCCTTTTTAATAATAAAAGACCTTACATAAGGCATTTATGTATCCAACACTGTGTCAAACACACATAAAGAAATGAATCATTTAAAAATGTTATGTAACTGTTTTGCATATTTTTAGAACCTCATCAGCAATTTTAAAACACGATGTAGATGACGGTCCTTTTTAAAAAAAATTAAGGCAGTTAAGGTATTTTATATGTGCAGGTGGAATTTTCGTCATAGAAAACTAATGGATGCACCATTTCTGCGTTTGGGGTCCGGCGGGGTGGTAACTTCAGGTTGCTAGGACAAAGCATAGCAACAACAATGTCCTGGTGTGTGCATGAAATTGCACGGCTTCTTTGTGACACTCACCTGTCAACTCAACTTAGCTTATAGGCAACATAAACAAACACGGCTGCAAAGTGCTGCACACAAGGATTAAACAAAAATATAATCAAAAACCTTCATTGTCACTGTATGGTACAAATGCAGCGAAATCACAGTGCAGAAAATACGGTGCTCCGTTCCCAAACTCAACTTCATGCTCCCAAGCTGCGGCCATAGGTGACACGATATGCCACACCCACTTTTTGAATGGAAAATCAAATGTTCATTATTATTGCTAATTGTCCGGCATTTAAGTAACCTTGTCTTTTGGAATAACACAACACAACTGGCAGGAGTCAACAACAACAACAACAAACACATTTAGTGCAGCCATCCAAAAAAGTATGAATATTTGAAATAATTTGCTTCTGTATTAATTGTTCTATTGAATAAGGGCAGAATTGTTTGAATTCGCCATTGAGATAGGACAGTATTGCAGTAACCACTGGCAAATTGTTAGAAAAGATTCAGAGGTGTTTTTTTTTTTTTTTTACTTTTAATATTAAGATAGCTACTCCTGTTGCTTTCTTGTGCCATCATCTTTGATCACACAATGTTAAAAGGTCACATGAATTTTTCATGTGTGTGTGGCTGAAGGATCTCACCGTGCTTGCACGAGGAAGTGACTGAGTGTACACGGCTTTGCTCTGTCAGTTATTGGAAAGCCGTAATGGAATAGGTGAGGCAGATACAAGGCTCCCAAAGAATATCATGTTCATTTTTTAAATGTACAAGAGCAGAAATATGGAAAGTGGGTGCCGCTGTTTTTCTTCCCCATTAAATCTAGGGTCAGCAAGTAACGAACAGCTTGTGGAGGCTAAATATTAAATACATTGACTGCCACACCATCTATGGACTCAGACGAAGCTTGTCTAGATTTGTAAAATAATTATATATTTTTTAAAAACGTGCAAAAAAGTTGCATTTATTTATTCGTGATTAATTGTAATATGTTGTACCTTTATTTTTACCGTGGCTCATTTGGTTTTGTTATTAGTCAGATTTTATATGGTGAAAAATAATCTATTTTTTTTTTAAGAGTGTATTGTTCAATAGATTAACATTGATTACGACAAATAACGGGAAAAAAACTGGTATGATTAAGTACTGTTAAGATATGATTCCTCTCTGTTAGCTGGATTTGAAAGAAACAATGTAGAATGCTGTTGAAGGTATTTCCTGCTTACTGTGATTACAATCACCTTTGGTAACCCCTCACCCCCACTACTTTTATGACCCCTCCAGAGGACATGTCAACATCAAAAGAGGAACTGTTATCTCAAGTATCTGTGTTGCAGCTATTGAGGGACTGCGCTTTGCTATGAGTACTATTGATCTCAGTCTCTTTCCTGAACATTTGTTTGCACACTTAAAACAACGTATGTGGTGTTAAAGTTTATCTTCTTCCTCCTTGGTTGATTAACGGCCCCCCAAGTGTCTCTTCTGTTGTTCCCCCGCACCTTGGGTCGGTCCCTGATCGCTGTTAAGCCCCCCCTGGGAAGACCTCTTATCTCAGGATGTATGCACAGCGGGGGTTCTAGAACTTGCCATCACACCAAATGGTGGGTAGTGGTCATTTGGTCTCACCTCACCACTCCCACCTTCTTCCAGCCACACCGGGTCAGATGTCATGTTACTTTCTTTGTTTCCGGGATTTGCATGAGAGGCGTACCTAACCGCCTCTCATTATCATATTGTCTCTATATAATCTCATGAATGTGTTTCTTCTACGCTTCCTGATTCAAATCTGGACCCCTCAGGAGCCCGAATTGATTCGTAAACTGCAGAAAATAAATTAAAACCCTTCGAAGGAACTGTTCATCGCCTCCAGCCTTTATTTGGTTAACCAACATCCTCATCATCCGAAATTCAACGAACACGCGAGGAAGAGAAAGGCCGCTCTTCCCCCAACAGTACCACAATGGATTTCCAGGTACCGAGAATGGGAACAGAACCGGTTCAAATATGAAAAGTACTCTTCCCTACTGTTACATCCCATTTATTAGTTTTTTTCCCCCCTTCATTCATTTAGGCTTGCCCTAGAATAGAATCTTGAATTATGTCTTGTATGTTTCAGTAGCAATAGTTAACAAACATTGTCCATACACAGAAGTCCAGCATGAATTGTGTCTGTGTATGGGTAAAAGTATTAACCTCTATTTAGGTAAAAGAGCTCCCAATTTATTGATTGTACCCCCTTAATATTTTACTTATTTCACGAAGATTTTCATCATTTACCCTCTAAACCAGGGGTGTCAAACTCATTTTTGTTGTGGGCCACATTGTAGTTATGGTGTCCCTAGGAGGGCCGTTATGACTGTGAATTTTGTGATACCATATAAATGTTAAGCCACTTCCACATTACATACACAGCAAACAACAAATGGATGGATAACTAGTTCTGACATCAGAAGTCAAGAATAATGGATTGTTCAAGCATTGTAATTATTACATGTGACAATTTGAAATTTTGGTTCAGAATTTAGCAAGCACCTTGGAATTTGACAGGCTTGAATTGCTTTCGCGGGGCACATAAAAAGATGCGGCAGGCCAGATCTGGCCCCCGGGCCTTTACTTTGACACCTGTGCGCTAAACAATCCCAAATTTGACGAAAAGCAAGCGGTAGTACTGCAGAAATTAGTCACGAGTCACTTTTAATTGACTACACTCTTGTGAGTGACCCGCAGTTCTCGCGACGCTGACGTCCAAAATGGGAGCAGTACGGGAGTGGAAGTCATTCGGAATGGGGGCAGGAGTGGAGTGGGAGTTGCTTTCACTGGGAGTGGGATGGGACTGAATTGTATTTATTTATTTGTTCAACTATGGTTTGGGGCTGCGATGGCTGGGAATTTTTTCTCTGGGAATGGAATGGGACGGGAGTGAAAATCCATTCCCGCATCATCCTCTAATGCTGACGGGTTTTCTGACCCCAACAGACCTCCACAATAAAGGAAAACCACACATTTTAGAGTGGCCTATTATTGTGGCCAGGCTAAGGCACACCTGTGCAAAAATCATGCTGTCTTATCGTCATCTTGATAATGCCGCACTTGTGAGGTGGGATGGACTATCTCGACAAAGGAGAAATGCTCACTAACACAGATTTGGACCAATTTGTGAACAATATTTGAGGGAAATGGCGTTTTGAGTAAGTAGAAAAAGATTTAGGTCTTTGAGTCCTACTCACGAAAATGAATGAAAGTGCCACATGTACTTTTAATAAGGGTGCATTCTGAAATTCGAGTGAGTGTTAGGAGAGACAGAGTGGGCTCCTTTTGAATATTGTTGTCAGTTTTGTTTTTATGAGTTTTTTTTTTTTTTGTGTAAGTTTTAAAATCCTTCATCAGCCCACAACCTTCACATCTTGTTTGGACAGCTTCCTTTTTGTCTTGCCTAACACTTTGACGCCCTTCGCTGTGGGCACCCCCCCTCAAAATAAGCAAAGAGCATAACAACATTCTGAATTTCTGAACAGCCACTGTGTATCAGAGTGCATTTCCAAATGCGCCCTGAGTATCATTACTTAGAGAGTGGTCATTACCCAATTGATAGTCGTGAGAGTATCAGTATATCGTTATCACAGAATTGATACACCCATCACTAGTTGCGACTTAACCACTGTTCCTGTATACTATTTTAAACTGCACCTCATGTAATTTCATCGTGATTGAAATCAGCTCTGGACCTTACCTTAATTAAATCATGAAAGACACGCTGTCATCAAAAAACGAATACAAATGCACAATTAACTGATGATCCCTTCTCTCTAGTGGCCGAGTAAAACCCTTACTTGGACTATTCAGCGAGCTTGAAGCCCTGCTCTCTACCATCAACGTTAAAGCGGGCAGTATTGATGCTGTCCTGTTGGATGCTGGATGCTCTTCCATGCAGATGGACGATGCAGAAAGGGGCTTCTCGCTCAGCAAGGATGGGCCCTTGGACATGAGAATGGATGGAGAGAGGTGACGTATTTTCATATTCACAAAATTGGTAACAAACTATGTAGCCAGACATTTAATTTTAATATGTGGATCTGGGGGGAAAAAAAAAAAACATGACAGTTACTTGACTATAGTATCAGGAATCCATAATCCTAATTTATATCTACCCAAAAGACTCAATCTCTTCTCTGTATTAAATGTAAAATGTAGATCAGAAAGTAAGAACGATGGCATCCTTCCTATGTTAGCCCAAAGTGGTTTGCAGGCCACTTTGACTTTGTCAGTTGTACTTTCTAATTGAAGTAGTGAATTTGGTCTTCATGATCATCTTCACAATCATGATCATAAGAAATTGTCATTACAAGAGCCCAACAAACAGATGTTATCGGAGATCCAATAATAAGAGTCTTTATATTACACAGCATGAATTGATTTATATTTTTAAAAAATCGGATTCATTGTTACCTGTCAGCAGTATGACTATCAGTGGTACATATATTATTACATCTTCACACCAGTTTTTAGGCCAATTCAAAAAAAGAGGTTTCATCTTGGCAAAATCGCATTGTAAGATTATTTCGATGCCATTGAAATAACTCTGGGTGAAATATCCGAGAAGTGACGATTCTCTCGCTTGTTCTGTATTCTGAGTGGTGACTACAAGAAGAAACACAAGGTCAGTGATCAGGGTAGTTTGGTGTATGCTTTCTATTCTTATCAGGGGCTCTTAACATCTGATGCAATGTGGAAATTACAAGCCAACTTGCGTAAATGTAGTTATCATAAGTCATGTCGCTCCACTGTGTGTATGGCATTTATATGTATGAGTCCGTGAAGTGGATGTCATTATTATTTTTAGGATTTTGTTTTATTCATCCACTAGGAAGAACTGGAACAAGGCTACTTTGTGTATGAAAAATCCAAAACACGTTCGTTCATATCGAGGAATTGCTTTGGCATGCTTATGAAATGTGGAGCCCACATATCAAACTGCTTTATATGGCTCGTTTTAAAATAGTATAATAATTTATAATAATTCAATTTGATCAGTAACGATAAAATAGTAATTCTATTTTAGACATGTCATATTGCCCTGGTGTTATACTCAAAGTTAAGGCACTTGTTGACAGTGCAAATGGTGGCGGCCCACTTAAAGACAAATGTGCATAGTGTTTAAGAAAAATGTACATGTGTTAACCTTCAAACACTGCAGATAAGTGCATAAATTATCCCATCTACTCATTTAACCCATTAAACATTTTTTTTTTTGACATAACGATAAAGACAAGGGCTGGACAATTATGTGGAAAATAATAATGACTGTATGGGTCCACAGATATGAACTTTGTCACTGTTTATGTTTGATATGTCAACATTATCCTGCCTTTATGTAATCACATATAATGTCCAATAAGGAGCTTTCATCTTGGGCATAGTGGAAGAAAAAGCTACGCAAACGCAATGTTCTCTTCCCGTGTTTTACTGGATGTTTGGTGTTTGTTAGTGATTAAAGCAGTCTTCAAAAACATGAACAGACTCAAGTGGATTACTAACGACCTGGATAAAATACAGTAGATGCGCGGAAGTGAAGTCACCAGCGAACTGCACTAGCTAAAGGAAGAGAACCTTCTCCCGATCAACAGAATTGATGCTTCCAACAGCTAAAGCAAAAGCACATCACATTAAAGAAGCAACACTAGAATGGGAAGATGAGCTTGAAGCAGCTAAAGCCGCAGCAATGGAACCGGGAGCAAAGAAGGGAGAATTTGAGATTAGGATGCAAAATCTTAAAGCTGAACATGATTTGTTGCACTAACATTTGAGTGCATATGCATCTCACGACATTCAGTAAAAATATTGCATCACATGAAAGAGTTGTCAAAGATGAGCCAAACAATTTTTGCAATACAAAACAAGAACATTTTGCGACTCAGAGCAATGGCACCTGTTGAACAGCCAAAGAAGCAAGAAATCACAACAGCACAGAGTTATTGGGCGCTGTCCTACAACGTCAAAATGATATTACAGAGTTCTAGGTTAAGCAACAGGCTCTCTCAACTTTGCCACCACAGAGCATTACTATTTTCAAAGGCGATCCATTGGAATATAGATCCTTTATGATGTCGTTCCAACATGGTGTAGAGAGAAAAACTGAAAGCAGCAAGGCTCATCTATACTTCATGGAGCAATACACATGTGGAAAGCCCAAAGATTTAGTAAGGAGCTGTTTGTATATGGAACCAGATGAAGGATACCGTGAAGCGTTCTTGGAGGAACCTTTTGGAAATGCTTACACTATCGCTACAGCATACATCAATAAAGCCTTGAATTGACCTTCCATAACGACAGATGATAGTGAAGCCTTACTTACCACCGCACTGTCGGCAAACATGCGAGCCATCATCAATAAACTTCCCTACGAATTGAGTAAAAAATGGGACATATTAGAGACTTTTAAACCCTCTCAGGGCAGAATATCTGGAATGTATGTCCATCCTTCAAGAGTGAAATTACCGATAAACAATTTCGTAAATCTTGTTCTGCTCTTGCCCCACTGTAGATGACAACCACCCACCACAAAAGGTTTCTCTGCCCATGATGTGATCGGCTTGGCTGCATTAAGCTTCAGAGCCACACTTAACTCATTCACCAAAGACATATTTGTCTTTTCACACTCCACACGTTCAACCCCAGATACTTTTTTTTTTCAATTTTTCCAAGACTTAGGGTAAAAAAAAAGGGGGGCCAGCCATTTTCAGACCCTTTCAGACCCTTTTCAAGTACAGTCAATACAAAATGAGGAGCTGGGATTAAATGTGTGGCGTCTGAAAAAACATCTAAATACGTCTAAATTGGGAGTGAATGAGTTAAGTGGCAGCCGGACCACATTGTCCGTAATTTTATGCAGACACATTCACATGCGGAGTCACCCGCATGTCCCACAAGTTTGACATCCATGCTAGCAAAGGTAAACAGAGCTGTGTTGCCTTATATTGGATACACAGATTAGCATTAGCTATTCGTGTTTGCGTTTGATAAGGTGCACATATTTCTTTGCTGTGTGACGCTGTCGACGCGGCAAGATTTGTGTCCATGTCCCACATACACATCGTGTAGTATATGAAATATTGCCTCCACGAGTAAACATGCTTTCATTTTCTTTATTTGTTTTGTGATTCCCAACTATAGTTGTTTTCGATTGGGTTTCTCACTTTGGGCTCTGTATTTGGAAGTAGAAGCCAGTCGTCAAAAGACGGTCGCCATTGGCACAGTAGTTAGACAGGCTAACCCCTCAAAACAGGCTAATTTCAACACGGATAGAAATATGTCATCTCTACAAGGATTTCTTAGGGATTAGTTTATTGTAGATGGGTAAAGGGCTGATGCTCAAATGTATTTACATGAAAATTATAATTTACAAAATTACATGGTAGATGATCATGGTAATAATTATGACTCTGTTTCAAATGTTTCCACCATATAATTGAGATTTCATGGTTGGTCGAGTATAGCAGGTGTTATAATACCATCTCTTCATTGATGATTCATATTTACTGCTTATGAATTTTTGAAAAATATTAACATTGATATCAGCCATTAAGATTTTCTGCCACATCTCACATTTTTGCAGGATTCACTGCTGTCAGAAAGTGCGTGACGTCGCCAAATTTAATTGGCTTTCCCTTTGTGCGTAGGTTCTCCGACATGCCCTGTGCTGCTGACGTGGTGAATACCTTAGATCAAGAGGCTCTTGCTTCCATCCTCACTGCATATGGTGAGGAGAGACATGCCAGGAAAATAGCTTCAGCCATTGTGGAGGCACGCCGTGTCAACTCCATCACCCGGACACAGCAGCTTGCAAGTGTGGTAGCAGGTAGCGACTCATTAACCTGATCAATTCCCACAGTTTTATGAAGGCTGTAACAGAATAAACCACAAGTTGAGTTCAAAGCCCTTTCCCGATGGAAAATTTCAGAATCCCTAAACAATCATCTTTAGACCCTCCATTGTCTTCTGTCTGATTTGTGTCTTTCTCTCCTCTTCCCTTTAAAAGTAGCAATGACTAAAAGCATGAATCCGAACCAAATTGTAGTCAATGCCCCAAAATGACACTACATTTTGAGTAGGTACATCTTCGATTGAAACATGCTTTCACACTCATGCGACTCAAGATCGTTTTTTTTTTTTTTTTTTGCCATTTGCCCCTACCTCCACTTCATCTCCCTGCTCGCTTGCATGCAGAAACATGTGGCACTTACGGTAACTCATACAAGCTCACACATGACACACATCATTTGTTTGCATTCTGTTTCTTCGCCATTTTTTCCCCTTTGCCCCTTTTGTTTATATGCCTCCAAGATCTGAGGTGCTGAATGAGTGAAATGTTGTCCTCAATAGTTATTGCACAGAACAGCATGTGCGTCAGCGTCACCCTGGGAGAACAGGTGTGGGTAAGAGCAGCCGTCTGATATCTTCTGAAGAGCAACAGCAAATCACTGCCTCTGCTTATTTGAAACAATCCAAATAGGTCTTTATTGAAGCAAGTTGCACCAGGGGCTCTGTGACCAATTGTGCCATAAATGCTGACAACAAAAATATGTCATTTGGGGGGAAATAACATATTTATGAAATTTGGCTTCTGCACCTGCAGCCACTTCAACTGTGAGATGTGGCTTACAGTGTAAAAACATGAAATTCTGACTTGTTTCTTTGACTACTTTTGCTGAGTTTGTTCCCTTTCGCTTTATTGCAATTTGATTTTTTTTTTTTTTTTTGCTGTAGAAGAAATTTCAAGTTATTTTTTTCAGCTAAAAGGAATCCATTCATCCATCCACCCAGCCATCCTTTTGTTTTCAACACAGCTTATCCTGAACAGGGTCGCAGGGAGTTGCTGACTTTAGGCAAACTAGACCCTGAACTGGTCGCCAGTCACTCGCAGGGCAATATAGAGACGAAACACCCATTCACACCCACATTTTCAACTAGCCTGTTTTGCATCCGCAAGTTTCGCCTGTTTACAAAAAGTCATGTGGTTTAAAATTGATTTTTTTTAATCAATCACCTGCAGCGTCTATAGCATCTACATAGCAAAAGTGGAAACAGAGAAAAACAAGCAAACTAAAGAAAATTGGATTGAACAAATTCAATTTTGCAAACATTTTGACTTCATCAAATGTTTTGTGCAGTTGTTTTTCATTATTTTCACATCAGTACTTACAAACACACCAGCTTTCCAGCCTTTTAAGCGCATTTGGCATAACGTAGGAATAAGAGTTGTGGATGTGGTGCGACCTTGCACTCATAAATAAAATGTCACATTGACAAATTTGAAGCCGTACGATGGTTCATGTGCCTCGTCTGCCTTACAGGCAAGATTCTTGGTTTGAAAAAGATCTTCGGCATTTTTTTGTGGTGTTTACATGATGTCAGATTTATATTATTTCTGATTGTGGATACCACTCTTCTACCTTTCCAAAATATGCATGCTTGGTGAATCAACTCTAACGTGCTTATACTTGAGAATGTGAGTGTGAATGGTCGTCAGTTGTGGATAGATGTATTGTGGCCAAGAAGTATTAAAAAAAATGGACAAGTGTGAAACGGTTTTGCCAACTCTGAAACACATTTACTGCCCCATGTCAAAACTGACCAAAATAGCGAATAGAGGCAATAACTGTTTGATTACTGTCAAATAAACATCTTGACAATGGAGCAGCTTTGTCAGTCAAACTGGTTTCATCTGTATTGTATGGTAGCGTTGAAGTGCAAAGCAACTCGGTAACTGATACTAAAACAAAACAAAAACAATCTTAACACCAGTAAATGAAAAAGCACAAGAACAAATAAAGATAAATCATTTCGGACGCTTGAACCCGGTATCTTGTTCTTTAAGTCAATGTCAACAGCTTGTGACCATAGATGAGGGTAGGAATGATCACCCAGTAAAATGAGAACTTCTCCTTTCGGCTCAGCTCCTTCTTGACCATGACAAACTGATTCAGAGTCCGCATCAATGCACACCCTCCACTGATCTCTCTGTCAAACTCCCGCTCCATCCTCTCCTCACTCATGAACAAGAGGCATGATCCTTAAACTCCTCCTTTTTGGGTAGGAGCTCATCCGCATCCTGGAGAGAGCATTGAACCCTTTTGTGTCTGAGGACCATGGTCTCAGATTTGGAGATGCTGCTATTCATCCCAAATGCTTCACGCTCAGCTGCGAACCACTCCAGCAGCTTGATGAAGCCAACAGAACATGTAAAAAAAGCAAAGATACCTGTATAGTACTGAGGTCACCAAACTGGACACACTCAACGCCTAGAAATTCCGCCCATAAGGGTTATGAACAGTATCGGTGACAAAGGGCAGCCATGGCAGAGTCCAACACTCACTGGAAATGAAGGTAACTTACAGGTTGCAATGGGGACCCAAGTCTGACATCCATCATAGAGGGGCCGAACAGCCTCTACAGATATATGAAGATTTCGTACCCCATACTCCCAAAGCGTGTTGCAGGGGCATTTCCACCAGGACAGCCCCACAACATCCAGAACCTTTAGGAACACCAGGTGGATCTCATCTCCCGTTGGGACCCCGCGACAGAGGATTTGTTTAATCTTCTATCTCTGGTGACACCAGAGCTGGTGTTGACAACATGCTCTGTTACGCACGCCAGATGAATGCTCACCAATAACTAGAGCAGTGGTTCTTAACCTTGTTAGATGTACCGAACCCAACCAGTTCATATGCGCATCCACTGAACCCTTTGAGAAAAATAAAAATATGATTCGAGAAGTGTTCCTTCAGTTTTGCTGGTGCGAGACTAAAGTTGCTCAACTTGGCATGAAAAATCATGCAGATAGGACGCTGAGTCCCATTCACGTTCCGTGATGCATGGCAATCCATGTGGTAAATATTCGTCCGACCACTTTCTTTTTTTGCTCGACATAGCATGTGTTAAAACATAATAAATAAATACAATCGCAGGACGTACTATCACGACAGTCTCACGTTGACTACTGAGCAAACTAAATTTCTCACAACACTGATTGGACAAGCAATGTAATGTGATCATCTGCAGCCAGTGATGGCCATGCAGGTGTGTCACAACTAAAAGACATGTTCAGTCGGGTATGTCTTAACCTCCTTGGCAGAGGCTCCGTCGAACCCCTAAGACTGGTCCACCGAACTGATCCATGATTCCATGTTGATGAGAGCATTAAAACGGGGAAAAAAAATAGGACAAAAAAAATATATAATTTAGAAACGATAAAAAATGTGTGAGTAATCACGATGAATTATGAGTTAATTCTGACAGTTGCGTTTTTAATCACGATTAAATATTTTAATCGTTTGACAGCACTAAATTTTTCTGTCTCCCGATCCCGGTGCTTATAATCTTTGGAATCCGAAAGCAACATTGGTATTTTTCTCTGGTGTTGTTATAACAGCAAGAGGGCATCATTTCAAGAGCAACCAAGAACCATGTTATGCAGTCAAATGCAAACAGTCGAATGCTATCCACCCAAGATGGTGAGGGAACAAAAAAAAAGCGTAAGTGACTTCACATGCAAGCCACCTTTACATATTATTCTGGTTCTCTTAGCACACATGGTTAGCTCCCCTTTTCTCTGTGGATCCGTCTCCTGGACCTTTGAAAGATGAATTAGAGAGGCGAAGAGAGCACATGGCTTGGTGAGGGGAGACTTGGGCTTGGTCTCTTCGTGCAGGCATTGTATTGATTGCAGTGTGACTCACACCTTAGGCTGTTTAGTGCAGGAGGGAGAAATGCCACATCACTCACTTCCCTATTTATTGCAGTTTCTCTTAAAGGTCTTATATGGGCCTTTGTATTTAAATCATGTAAACCTCTACCCCACAACCCAATATATATTTGTTTTATTTTAAATTGAAACCCCCAAATGTTTGATTTATCAGAAACATACTACACTGTGAAGATAAAACATAGCAGGGTAATGAGGGAAAAAAAATGGAAAAAAGACAAACTCATTTGTAACTAACAAATGAGTATCAAAATTTAACAACAGTCTGGGATGAGAAGCTTTTTTCTTTGAAGACCTGTCATGTATTAATCAGTTCATATCACTAAATAAACACAAAAATATCAGTTTGTGTGCTACCTTCTCAGGGATCAGTTTTCACTGGTACTGTGTTACTTATTTTTTCGCTGACAATGCTCTTATCGGTGTATGTTTGATGCTTCGACACCTGTATGGATTAGAGAGAGCCTCGCAAAGAGCGAACTTCACTATTTGCATCGACAATTTAGGGTAGATTCTCTTTCAGTACTGTGAATTGTGACTTATAAAGGTTAGGTTTACATTTTGTTGCAAATTTTGTCCTGATGGGCTTTGACTACATTTCAGTTCTTGATGGTTCTTGTAGCATTCCATTGTTGTTTTTTCATATCGTCTTTAACTTTGTAATATATCTCATGTGAGCGAGTCAGACTAAGAAACCCAAAAGACAGGAGCAGGGTGTTATCAGGTCGAAAGGACAGCAAGATTATGAGGTTAAGATATTTGTAGAACAGACTGTATGTACTCTATGTGGCTGTAAAAAAAAAAATAATAAATTGAAAAAGTGAGTGAGTTTAAAGTTCATATTTGGTGAAAATATTCTGCATATAGGTGAATCCACTGGTGCTGAACCACGATATATATATATATATATATTTTTTGATTGGAATACAATAATGAACTTGAAAAAAGTTCACTCAAAACACAAGCTCTTAAAAAAAATGTTTACACAGAAATTATTCATAAAATATAAATGAATATATGGGTAATAATATCCATCCATCCATTTTCCGATCTGCTTATCCTCACGAGGGTCGCAGGCATGCTGGAGTCTA